CTCTTCCTGTCTCTATTTGTCTTTATCCCCATTAAACTCTGAAATTGACTTAATGTTCCTGGACTCTGAAGATCCTGGCCCAAGACCCCGCCCAGGGTACTGAGCAGGCACCAGTGACTTTTAACTGGACGTGACGATGAACTTGTATCAACAGAGGCTCCCAGAACTGGACGAGCCTGACATGGGGGGAAGTAGGCATTGTGATCGGGTGGTGGGAGGTGCCCACCTATTAGCTGGATCCACGGCCACCGGGAGCCGGACTCTCCCTGATCCCCCCACCGCCAGTCCTGGTTCCTCCCAAATTGCCTGCAGAGGGTCCCCAGGGGTCTCGTACCTGGGAGCTGGGCCCGGGGGCCCCAGGGTAGCTCTGGCTGTGCCTGCCTTGGTTCAGACCCTGACAGCCCCGGAGAACTCCGAAGGCATGAGTGGAAGGGGCTCTTTCAACCTTGGCATCAATGGCACCTGCCTTCTGTCCTGGGGGATTGTCTGGGAAGCCAGGGCTCCGGCGTGGGATCGGCAAGCTGTGTAACCCTGGGCAGGTCACTCACCCTCTCTGGGTCTCAGTCGTCTCCTTTGGAGTCTAAGTTCTCAGGTACTTTCCCTGAGAGCACCCTACTCTCTCCTGTAGCCCTACTTGGTCTCCAAAGTGAAGTGTCCTCAGACAGGACCTTCCCTGCTGGGCAGAGGGCGGCACAGGGCTGAGGGGGACATAGGCTACAGGCACCAGGGCTGAGGGGGGCACAGCCTACGGGGCAGGGACGTGGCTGAGATATGCTGAGACCAGCCCCCACCTGCCACTCCTGTCTGACAGTCCCGAGCGCCAGGCGCTCCAGGTTTGGGGCTTCCTGCACAGGATATGGACAGTCCCCTTACTGGCTGCCCCTGGCCTCGCTTTCCCTTCTGAAGAATGGGCGGGAGGCCGCTCAGAGGTCAGTCAGATGGTGCCTCCGCCTTTCCCTGGCCACAGGAGGTGGGAGCCGTCTGAGAGCCTGGGGAAGAGGCTGAGTCACCCCTCTGTCTCACCCTGTGGGGGAAATTCAGGGTCTGGCTCAGGCCCTGCGAGGCCACGCCTCCATGGCGGGATGCCACGCCCCCTGGGGAAGCCCACACCCCCGGGGCAGAAAGCCCCGCCCCACGCCTTCCCCCCTGCTGGGGGCGGGGCCTCACCAGGGCCTAAGGCACCAAGCTCTGTCCGCAGGGCCAACCCCTCCGGTGGCCTGCCCCTCTGTGGCCATCTTGGTGTGTCCACAGACAAAGGAAGACAGCTCTGGGGACAACTGAGCAAGCGTCTCAGCAGGAGTGTCCCCAGCATGGACCCCTCGTGCAAGCCAGGGAGTCTGTCCCCGCCTGCCTCTGGCTGTGCCCTCCAGCCCTTGGCCTGGGTCACCTCAGTTAGCCCGCCCCATCAGCTGGGCCCCGTCACAGCTCTGTCCCCATGGGGGGCTCTGCTTCCAGGGCTCCAGGCCTGGGGACCTCAAAGCGGAGCAGGAAAACAGCAGCCCCCAACGGCCAGGCTGTCCCCTGGAGCCCAGCCTGATGCCCGGGTGTCCTTCCACTGTCTGAGAAGGGTCAGGGACAGGGCGTTTGTGTAAGCGGCAGACCACTCGCCTGGGCTGTGCACACATCCGCACACCCGGGGGAACTCTGCACACGCCACCAGGCTCATCTGTGCCACGGGGTGTCCCTGGACACCAGTGCTGTCTTACCCTGTGGGCACCTTATGAAAATATTAGAGGTCAGGGGTCACCGACTGCAGCCTGGGGGTCAACCCACCGGCTGGCTGCTTCTGTATACAGCTCAGGTTCTGAGAATGGTTTTTAGGTTTTTAAACAGTTGAAGATTAATTCATGAGCTGGGAAGACAGGAAATTCAGATTTCAGTGTCCACAACTAGTTTATTAGGACACGGCCACCGTCTCTCATTTGCATATCATCCTGTGACTGCTTTCAAGGTTGGGTAGTCACAGGAGACTGTTGGTCCCACAGGCCAAAAGACTTACCATCTGCCCGACCAGAAAAGCCTACCAGCTTCTGCACTAGGGTCCCAGAAACACCAGGCCCTGCTCATATCTCTGCCCCCGCAAACGGAAAGTTTAGCTTCAATGAGCTTAGGGAGAATTTCATAAATAGCAAATCTAGACGCAAGCCTTGTGCATTTCAGCACATACACACAAGTTTTGGGTTTTATGGTTTTATGTTGGTGTTTGTGTGATACAAACTTTTCAAGGCTTAGAATCTCTTCCTCATCTCTCTCACATGTAGTGTGGACACAGGGTAGGTCCACACCATGGGGCATTAGTTGATGTTCATGGGATCAAATAGACTTGGTGCTCTCTGGCAATCCAACCCCCTCGCTAGTGGTGGGGTACTCTTGCCCATTTCGTAGATGTGGAAACTGAGACCCAGAGAGGTGAGGACACCAGGCTAATGCTGCAAAGCTGGTCAGAGCAGAGGGAAACCTGATGCTCGGGGTACTGCCGGCTGGTCTGGCTCACCCTTGCACCGTGAACAGTGAGGTCAAGAGGTCCCTTCTTGACGTGGCTCTGCTCCTGGGTGAAGTGGGACAAAAATCTACAGCAAGTCTGCTGCGGGGAGGCAGCTTGCTGGTCCCTCCAGCAGATTTCCGGGAATCCTAGGTCCCCCACCAGCCCCAGCGGGTTCCGGGCCAGCCTCCCTCCCTGGGGGGTCTTGGCAGGCACCCAGGAGCCTGCAGAGAGATGAGTGGTGTTTTTCCCTTTTCCTGCAAACAGGGGCAGGTGTGGGGTGTGCAGCCCGGGGGGGCTGGGGGTGCAGGAAGTGAATGGGGCTGGGCTCCTAGGGCAAGGGGGGTGCTGTAGAGAGTGGGGGCCTGCTGAAGGAGGGAGCTGGGGAGTCTTGGGACCCAGGAACCCAGGCAGGGGTGCTGCCGAGAGAAGTGGAGGGCTTGGCCACAGGAGGCTCTGTCTCTGCTTCTGAGGACCCCAGCCCCCCCGCCCCCAGTCAGGCCTGGAGGATCCCTCACCTGCACTGGCTGAGCGCCTGCCCAGGGCCCAACGACCAAGAAAGCCGCTCCCTCTGCTCAGGATAAAGGGAATAGGGTTTGGGAAGCCCAGCACTTCCCACTCCTCCATCAGGGCCTGGGTGCTCCCCTGGAAGAACTGGCACGAGGACTGGAGGGTGACTTCTCCTACGCCCCCTGTCACAGGGTCCCGGTCTGAGTGTCTGCTCCTTGCTCAGGCCTCATCTTGCACTCCAAACACAACTGACCTGAATGTATTCTGCTCCTGCTCACCCCAGGACCTTTGCATTGACTGTTCCCTCTGCCTGGAACACTGACACCTTCTTCTGACGTGGCTTCCTCAGACTGTCCTTCCCAGAGCGCCCCTGGACAGGTTCATCCCATGCGGTCAGACCTGCGGCTGACTATCTGAATGGTCATGTGTTTGCCTGCTCCTTGGCTACCTGGGGACCTTCCTGGTAGGTTTCCCAGCCTTGCTAAGGACCTGCCTGGCTTCCTGCTGTGGCCCAGGGTCAGCACAGAGCCTGACACCTGGACAAAGGACCACAGGATAGAATGCGAGAATGATTGGCGCGACCTGGGACTGCCGCTGGAGTTATGGAGACAGAGACCCTGAGATGCCACCTCAGTAAGCCATTGCTGAGGCTCCCCCGGGCCCCTGGGCTCGGGGAGCATGCTGTAGTGTCCTGCAGGGATCTGAGCAGTGCAGCCCAGCAGGACCTTCTGCAGGACTTTCTGCAGGGACGGAGTCTGCACTGTACCCTACACCAGGGCTCCTGAGCACCCAGAGGGTGCTGAGTGGGACAGGACTGAATTCTGAGTTTTCCATCACCCCGGCCACAGCCCAGGAGGCAGCCGCACGTGGTGAGTGGAAGGTGAGTGGATAGCGTAGGGGCAGCCTGGCTCTGGAGAGGAGGAGAGCATCCTATTGTCCCCAAGGTTGTTACACATGGTTCTGTCACTCAGGGATTCACAGGCGCTTCCCCAACCCCCACCAGCCACTCCTCGGGCAGAGCTCGCCAGGGATTCTCTGGCAGCCTCCGAGAGGCAGGATCTCGCCACTGCTCTCCGCCCGCCAGGCTCGCTGGAGACCCCTGGTAGCGACTCCAAGAGCTCCCACCACAGTGACAAATCCGGGGAACAAGAGAGCGGGACCATCTTTGTCACCATCCTCACCGGTCACATCACCACCGAGCAGCATGCCGTCACACCACTCCTGATACGATCACCAACACGCTGGGCACTGCCACCCATGCCACAGGGCCACCAAGGCCGCCACCAACACCGTGCCCTCCATCCTCAGCACCCGGCAGCAGTGCTCAGAGCTCTGCACCAGGACAACCACCAGCGTCACCACCGCCAGCTGATCCCACCATCAGATCCACCACCTCCGTCATTGTGTGACAACCCCCTGCCACCACGAGGGCACCTCTGGTACTCGCTGCTCCCTCGTCACCCCCACACCACAGGCTCCCTTGTCCCCCAGCAATGACCACGGCCGTTACCATGCCTCAGCACCATCCACACTTGCAGCCAGCGTGCCAGGCCAGCCAGGGGCCCTGGCTCGGGGCCTGCTGCCAGGCTGCACAGCCAGTCTGAGTTTGAATCACTCAGCTTCTGGGACCCTCGGTTTCCTCATCTGTGAAATGGGACTAGTAACTAGAATAACAGGGCTGCAGGAGGTGGGAGAAGGGACACCCAGCGAGGCCAGGTGTGCCCAGTCCTTCTTCCTCAATGACAGGGCGCTAAAGCTCCCCCAGGGTCTGTGCTCAGATCCCTCCATGTTTCTTTGTTCCTCACTCAGCTGTGAGAGAGGGTTCTGTCCATTTTGCAGATGAGGAAAGAGAGGCTGTGACAGGAGACGCAACCTGCCCGAGTCCCCCAGCTTCTTCTGGGTTGCTGCCTGGCCTTTTCCCGGGGGATCAGCAGGTTTGGGGGTCCCAGGCCCCCTCTCAGGGCCGCAGGGTGGGATTGCAGCATTGGGGATGGAGGGGGCTGCTCACCTGTGTCCTGGCGGAACTGGTGCATGGACTGCAGGTCGATGATGTAGGGCACCAGCTGGGCGTCCACCTGGCCCAGGACCACGGAGCCGCGGGCGTCCTCCTTGAGCACGTTCTCGATGTGGTGGCACACGGTGGCCGTGTAGGGCCGCCAGCGGCTGTGCTCGTTCAGCCACTCCCACACCACCACCCGGGCCACGTTCTGCGGCGGGAAGCCCAGCCCGCTCCCGGGCACCATCACGCCCTGGCCTGGCCTTGACATGGCCGCTGCTGCCTCTGGGGCCAGGTCCCCACACGGGCGGCCCAAGTCCTCCTGGGCCCGGGAGCTGGAGGGGAACTTCGTCTCCCGAGGGGCGGCAGGATGTGGGCCCCTCTCCACGGCCCGGAGGCCTCAGTCAAGGGGACGTGGGGCGCCACGTAGGCTCCGAGGACCCCTTCCCGGCTGGCAGTCCCGGCCCGGGGACCCAGGCAGGGTCCTTCTCTGCGGGGAGGGTCCCCCGCGCCGGCGATCGAGGGAGGGAGGGAGGGAGGGAGGCAGCCGCCTCTGCTCCAGGTCCAGCCTCCTCCCTGCGGGCCTCGCTCCTCTTCCTCCCGCCACGCAGGGCCTGTCTGTCGCCCAGAGCCCGGGCCCAGGCTGCTGCTCCCCGCGGCGCTCCGCCAGCCTCTGCGCCCCGACTGCGTCCCAGGCGCGGCGCCCGGCTTCGGCGGGGCGGCTCTCCCGGCCTCGGGCCCGCCCCTCCCGACGGTCCTGTGGAAGGGGGCGTCCGTGTCCCCCAAGTCCCCTCTCCGCGTCGTCCGGGAAGGCCTCGGTGGTCGCAGGACACACAGGGCAGGGATGCGGCGCGGACCCGCGGCCGATGCGCGCGGCTGGCGACTCCCGAGCTGGGCAGGGGACCCGGGCCGAGGGGGCGGGGGCCCGCGGCACTCCCCACCCCACTGGCGCTCGCGACCTGCGGGACACAGAGGGGAAGGGCCCTTTAAGAGGCGAGCGCGGCCCCCTCCCCCTTCCCGGGAGCATCGGGCGCCGGAGAACAATGGGGAGGCGCCGGGGGCGGCGGGGGCTCCGGGGTCGGGGTCGCGCCGCCCGGTGCCCCGGGGACAGGCCCCAAGGGGGAGGCCGGGGCGCGGGGTCCCGGATCCGCTGCCCGCAGAGCCTCCTGCGATGCCGGCGTCGCCCCGCACCAGGGCCCGCGCCCGGCGGGGACGCGAGGGGCGCAGGATGCGGGGTGCGCGGCGGCGGGCGCGGCCCAGGGCCCCTCGGGGACCGCGGCACCGCGGGGGCCAAGTCGCGAGCTGGAGGTCACGGCCGCCGCCCCGGAGCAGCCCCGTCCCCGCCCGGCCCGGCCCGCGCGGACCCCGCAGGCGCCGGGGGTGGGTCCCCTGCGCCCCGCGTCGCCCCGCGCTCACCGCCTCTCCTCCGCCTGGCTCGGCTCCGCTCGCGCCCAGCGCCGCCGCCTCCCGGGCTCCCCCGCGGTCCCGCCTCCGCGCCGGTCCCTCCCCAGCCCTCGCCGCTGCGCGGACACACTGCCCCGCCGACCGACCGACGGACGCAGGAGCCGCTGCGGCTGCCGGACGCCGGGATCCCGCGGGTGGGAGGCGACGGCGACCGCGGTCGCGCTCGGGAGGAAGGGGGAGGGGGCGGGGGAGGAGGAAGGGGAGGAGACAGCGCGGCCCGAGTGCCGCCGGCGCCGCACGCGAGTCGCGGGGCGCCCCGCATCTCAGCTAGGCCCGCGGGGACCCCGCGAGGCCGCCTGCTCCCAGGCAGACGAGACAGGGAGCGGGGTGGGGAGGGGTCGCCTGCTTAACCTCTTTGTCATCTTTGCTTTGCAGCCACCTAGTCCAGGGCCTAACGCACAATAGGTGCTCAATAAATGCTTGAATGAACCAATAAGACACAATCTAAAGAAAGCTCTGGGTCCCCTCGGTGTCTTCTCTCACTACTGTGGAGGGGGGGAAGGGGCTGGCAAGGGCCCTATGAGAGCCAAATGGAACCATGGCGTCTGAAGTGCATGGACAGGAAGACTGAGGCTCAGAGAGAGGAGGACACAGGCCCAGGATCACACAGCACTTAGCGCAGTGCCCACATGGACACCCTGCCCGGATTCTGCTGCAGCACCCAGGAAGCCAGCCCAGAGCCCTCTTCCCCAGAGCACCCACCTGCTCCAGGTGAGAGGGATGTTACAGCATCCTGCCTCTCAGCTAGGGGAGGGGATGTGGCCAGGAATGGGGGCATCTTGGAGGAAGGCAAGGGCAGGCCCTCTACCATCTCTTTGAAAGCTACCTGCCAACCATAGGTGGTCAATAAATGCTGGGTGACTGGATGGAAGGGGAGGCTGGTGGTGGCAGCAGCTCCAGTGTTAACGGATGGTCAGGCCCTCCCTCCCGGCAGGCGGGATGCAGCTGGGGACACACATCAGCTGGGAGCAGGACGGACCACCCGGAGCCTGTGGGTGTTTAGATTGGGAAGGATGAAGGATGCGTCCGGGAACTCGGTCCTGGGAGGCAGATGGGGGTCAGTGGCCTGCTTGGGAGCCTGCCCGGAGCAGCTTGCGCTTCTCTGCCTCCCCAGGGCAGATGCAGATAAACTAGGCAAGGTCAGAGGCGGGCTGCTCAGGGGCGAGTTCCCAGAACCCAGCTGGCCGGCTGGAGGCCACTCCTGTGCATATGGTCTTTCCACCGTGGGTCCAACCTCTGCTGCAGACTGGATGGAGTCCCGGCCAGAGGGCAAGTACAGGTCTGCAGGGACAACCCCCCCCACAGGATTGTGGGGCTCTGGGACATTAGCCTTGGGCCCACCAGTGGCTTTCTGGGGGTCCTTAAAGACCTCTCCCCTGCTTACAGACTGTGTGTCTGCACTTTTCTGGGAGCGAGTGTCTGGCTTTGAGCAGATACTTCTCAAAGGAGGCAGGTCCTCAGAGGTTCAGGGCTGGTGGTCAACAACCTTAGGTTATAGAAGGGGCTCCGGGGGCCCCAAGGCGGAAAAGGGATTCACTCAAGGTCTTAGCAGCAACTTGAAAAGGAAACCTCAAGTCTCTGGGGTTTTCCTGTCTCATGCGATGTAGGTCTGCCCAGCTGTCTCCTCCTGCAGGAAGCTTTCCCTGAATTTACCCCATCTTCCTCTGCTCCTATGTTCACACCTTGACCTGACACCTGATGTCATAAACAGCCACTGCAGGGAAATCTGTCCCTGCTGGAGAGACCTCTCGGGGCCAGGACAGTGCTGCCGTGGCTGGTGCTCACTGAGTTATAGGTGTGGTTTATTGAGTGTCTATTACATGCCAGGTACCTATACTCTGCACCATTCTCTTGCAAGGTGTGTGTGGGGGTCTCGTCCTCATTATACATGTGGAAAACAAAAAAACTGAAGTTCAGAGAGGTTAGGTGACTTGCCTGAGTTCCCACAGAGACTGAGTGTAGAGCTGCGGTTCTCAATTCCCGTCTGCTTTGCACCTCGCAGAACACCCAGCTGTCTGTTGGGTGACTAAGAAACAGCATCCAGCTGAGGATCTGGTTCAGTGTGGCCCTTAGTGGCTCCTCTTGATGGGGCTGTGGAATATCTGGAAGTGCAAGGTCTCGCTCTCGGGGCACCTAAGAGAAGGGCATTCCAAGGGGGGGATGGATTGTGGCCAGAGTCCACGGCCCGCTAGGAAGAGGGCTCAGAAACCATTGGAATGGCGAATGGGACAGAAGCAATGCACCATGAACCCTCTCTCTCTCTCTCTCTCCAGCCCCACCCTCCCTCCTGTGTCCCTGTCATGCCTCCCGGGGTCCCCGTGCCAGCTGTGAGGGTCCAGGTCAGGTGGGAGCAGAGGGTCGGGTCCTGCATTCTGAGCTGCGCCGCTGGGGCGGGTCCCTGTGCACCTGTTGAACCTGCCTGGGAGGCCGCGATGGCTCTGCCGGCTCTGTGGTCAGTGAGGTGTCCACCTCACCTCGTGACCCTGCTTCTTCCTCCCCATGGGCGACATGCAGTGACCTCACGGCTAAGAAACCCTGGCAGTGGCCTCTGGTGGGCTGAGCAGAGCCAGAGCCGGGACACTGAAAGGCTCAGTGTCCAGCAGAGGATGGCCGAGAGGTGGGCTCCTCCTTTGTTGTCTTTCTCCACCCTCCATCCTGTCCCCCAGGTCTCTGGCTGTCTGTTCACCCATGAGCACCTACTGCATACCCAGTCCTGGTCTAGGTCCGGCAGGGCTTGGGAGGGGACTCAGAACAAGGGTCATGTGCAGTTGGGATGCAGGCCCTGGGGGACCCCGTCCCCTGCCCCTCCTCCTGTGGGGTCAGTGAGTGGACACTTTGCTGAGTTCCTGTCACCTGCCACCTTCTGGGGCCAAGGAGGCGCTGTGGCTTCTCCTTAGCACTTGAGAAAAACTTACAGAGGAAAACAGGAAACAGAGAGAAAGGCTTTTGGGGCCTTTGGAAGTCGGAGTGTCCTGCTGGAGAGGGGCTGGCCAGGCTGCAGGACGCCCTGGGGCAGGTCCGCACTGGCACTCGGCGGAGAACTGGCGGTGGGACTCAGGAACTCCAAAGGGTGACAGCGCAGCTGGCCGCGGTGCGCAAGGAGGCGCTGCTCTGGTGGCCAGGGATCCCCGCTGTGGTCCCTGGGAGCAGGACGTCCCTGGCACCAAGGACCTGTGCCAGGAACACAGGACTGCGGGGCCCTGTCCCAAGAGGAACCTCAGCCCTGCTCCGTGGGGCCTCAGCGGGTCTGGGTGAGATGAACGTCCTGCCTGAGGGTGCGAGCCTCACCCCGGAGGCACAGGAGCCTCTTGTGGGAGGCCGACCCAGGTCTGACCCCCCCCCTCAGACAGGTAGTAAGAAGGTTCCTGAGTCATAACACATAGACTCTATCACCACCGATGTAGGTCTGTGGGAAATCAAAGCCCCCAGACGTCACCCGTGGGGTGTGACTTGGCACAACCCCGTTGGAAAACAGTCGGCCTTTTCTTCCCTAGTTAGGCAGATCCGTCACCTGTGAGCCAGCAGTTGGAGAAATCCTAGAGCCACTGCCACTGAGTCACAGGGAAGAATGTGCATAGCCGCTCTGCACACAGCAGCCCAAACTGGGAGACAACCAAGGGCTCATCTATGGAGAGGAAACGAAGGAACCATGTTTGAATTCCCACCATGAAATATTATGCGGTGCTCAAAATCAAGGCACGGTAGCCACACACCGAGATACGGGTGGGTCTCTGAGATAGAATATTCAATAGAAAACGTCCTGCTAGGTAAACAGGATTCCCTTTCTATAGTGTCAAGGGCACACAGGGATGTGACATTAACTGTATGAAAAGAAAACAAGGGTAGAATAAATCCAGGACTCAGGATGAGGATCACGTTGGGCGGGTGGGAATGGGATCCTGGGGGTTGGGGGCATGCGGTCCTTAGATATGAGTTCGGTCTCTAGCTTTTGTTTGGGTGGTGGCTTTACAGGTGTTTATGACATCATATGAATAGATTTACTAATTAAAAGCTGATGAGAGTGAATTATGGACCAGGGATTAGGGTTAATCCATCCTTTCATGAACCAGGGTTCAAGAAGCAAGCAGGTGGTGAGGAGACAGGAGCATGCTGAGGTGAGATGGGGTTACAATTTTAATCAGCTCATCAGGGAAGGTACCACTTAAGTGATGACTGAGC